CTCTCAATTAAATAATTGATATAACAAAAGATCTGTCGTCCCATTTCTAATAATAATCGAATCAGTGGAGGATGAGATAGGAGAAATTCAACATATCAATTATCATTCACATAAGCAATCTTTACCCTATGACTATCGGTAAATTGATATTTTCTAAATTGAAGGGCAAGAAGTTTGGGGACGTACTAAAAATAAACAAAACAAATTCTAACGATATAGGTATAATTTTTAAAATATATCAAGAAGCAAATATTTTTTTAACTAACACAAATTCCCTAAAAATTGAATCATATATATTTCTAATTATAAACTATATCGTTCAGAGATTATTAGGGATGTTGACCAAAGACTGTCAATTGATGATATTATGAAAGATATTACATGGGAACATAATACTTATGAACTGATAAACATTCAGAGATATTTATGTTAATATATTATAATATTAAATTTATGTCAAAAATAACCCAAAAACTTGAAGATTCAAGGTTTATAAAAATTGTATTGAATTCCAGGTATCTCCCGGAGGTGATATACATATGGAAGGTCAAAACTAAAGTTTTGCCCTTTATAAATAATGTGAGAAAATTTCAGATTTGTTCAAGCTGAGGACATAACGGTAGAGTTTGTAAAGGGAAATTAACGTATACAAAGTGTGGAGAAAATCATACAGAAGCTGAGTGCAATTCACAATCGGTGACATGTAAAAATTGTCAAAAGGAGCACTATTCTTTCAATAATACGAGCCGATTTTTGAACACTTTAAATTGGTTAACACTATTTGCGCTTATGCGGTCAATCCCAATTGGCGAAAAAAATAATTAAAAAGCATAATATAAAAAGTACTTATAAAGCAAAAAAATTGTCTATCGTCTAGCATGTGCAAATAGGAAAATGGGAGAAAGTAAGGTTCTGGTTCTCTTTTTCTTTTAAACAGTACATATTAACTTATAAAAGTGAATAATATCTCGAGAATTTATATTTTAATAAAGAAATTATAAGAAGATAAAAAAATGAATATTTACCTTATATCACAAGAATTAATATATGGGACTTCTCTTTTGAAAGAGATGTTCGTCAATAATAGATATTAATGAAACCGTCACAAAATACATAAACTCTTCAAGAACGTAATCACTACTGTATATTATACACAAAGGTAATTTGAACAACTCATATATAATATTTACTGAATAATATTTACTTTTTAAAAATAAGGTTTTTTTAAAAAATATTTTCTCTGTACGAATTTTTGCTCTCACTGTATGTAGTAATATCTTACATTTCATATTGAATTTACATAAGACTCTCATATTTAATATATTGAAAAGAAATAGATATCTGTCTTTGCAAACATAAATTCTGTTCAAAAAAAGAATTGACTCTGCATATGTTTTGAGTTCAAGATACGATACTTTGGTACCACACATTTAAAGCTATGTGATTATCAGAAAAAAATTACATTCTTGACTTTCCCCTGCTCGAATCAAATCGTAATGATTTCTTCTATATATCTTGATCATATAGTTTTTTTCTAAATACAACTATACATAGTCTTGAATCATATAAACTATAACCAAAGATCTTAGATTTAAAGAAAGGAAAAAAAATTTTAAGCATTAAAATAACATCAGTCTGTTACCCAAAAAACTCACCGGATCTTATTCATCGACTTTCTTTTCTAGTTCAGATTGATATCCCACAAGACTTCCTTTCCGTGGTTCAGTTTAATATACAGTAGCCCGCAGTACACTGATAGTTTTTTTTTTTTTAGGCAACCTTGATCTTGTTTTCCTCGTTCAGCATATACGGATTTCATTTGATAACACAAGCCCTTAAAAAAAATATCCTGTGTTGGGGTAGAGACCTAGCTATTCTTATGTATTTTGAGTTGCTGAATACGAATCTGACATAAAAATAGGACTATCCAAGGCAAATTTAAAGCGAAAAAATCGGTCAAAAATAAGAAAAATGAGTCATTTTTTCACTCTAGATTGAAAATTTACTCTGGATGGTTCTATTCAGCGACTCAAAATACATAAGAATAGCTAGGTCTCCACCCCAGCACAAGGTACATTTTTTTGTGGGTTTCAGTGTAACTATTAACACCATCCAACTATAGCGTTTTTAATGATTTGTTCCGTCCAGCTGTTACATAAACCGACCTATAAAACTCAAGGCGTTGAGATGTGCTCTCTTAGATAGCTCAGAACAGAATCTATCTTAGATTCTTTTTCTGTAGAAAGAAAAACATAAAATATGTTAAACAAGGAAAGATTTAGTACTAACTTCACGATACGAAACAGATCGGTATTCATAGTCGATCCTTACATTTAAGACTGTCTTAAGTACAATCTTAAAATGTCATAAATCAATCCTAGGACTGTATTAGAATCTTAGGACATTATTTAAAATAGTTTTAAAATAAGAATAGACTATGAATACCGCCATGTTTCGCGTTTCATAATTGGTAGCCCTTGCACCCTATTGACGACGCGGAGCAAAAATAGGCGTGGTTAGACCAAACTGCACACATGTAATCTTTCCACTATGGAACAATGACATTTTTCATTTTCTCTTTAATGGAAAAAGGTGGTGGGATGCATCTGCAAATCACTTTCTTCTGTTGGAGAGAAAGAACAAAGAACGCCATTGTTTCCTCTTTCTTACATGTACTAGTCGATAAAATCTTTTGTTGATACTCGTTATGCTTGGTTTATCTTATCTGTACTATGTCTATGACAGTAGCATATGACTTTTTAATTTTTTAGGACTACCGCAGACAAAATTTTTGCAAGAGCTATCGCAGATAAAATTTCATAACAGTAAGCATAGCCGCATAAACGTATTCATGAAAAAAATTGTCCAATCACATTTCTCCTATAAAGACGCACGTAAAATGTGATTGGATAATTTTCTTTATGCGTTTAGGCGGCTATGTAAGTTTGTATGGATATACTCTAAGGGCTACCACACACAAAATGAAATAAAGTGCATAAGCATAGCATAAGATCGCTGGACTAATGATAATCCGACAAAAAGACGCCATATTGATTTGCATAAGATGTTCATTGGTCCAATGTGCTATGCTTATGCAGCTTATGTAATTTTGTGTGTGATGGCTCTAATCATAAGACGTGAACTTAAGCCGATGAGCGAGTCAGAATATTACTTTAGATCTACGCAATCCAGCGGAAATAGAAATAACAGTAAATCCATAAAGCAAATTTCAACCGGTTGAAAGAATCCCGAATAAAATCGTAGGATTTTGGATGATGAAATAAGCTAAAGCTTTAGTATGTTATAGTTCTTGGCTTATAGATCAAAAGTGTCCATAAGAGGAGTACCCCATTTGAGCACCGTCCCAATTGACCACGTTGCGATTGACCATGTTGCAATTGGTTACATTGCAAATGGCTACGTTGCAATTGACCACGTGTTGCAAATAACCACATTGCGATTGTGATCACAAGTTGCAAATGATCATGTTGCGATTGACCACGAATTGCAGCGTGAAAACGCTAGCTACAGTTGAGCGGCTATCCCCATTTTGTGGTACGTTTCTTTTATAAAAAAAGCCGTCGACGCCAGCCTCTAAAGTCCCGCTACTTTTTTATGGAGCAACAAATCGCTAGCCGCTGGATCAAAATAATCGTTAATATAAAATTGTTTTTTTTATACATTTAATTCCTGTTTGAAAACTGATAATTAAGAATGAGTTTCAAAGTGTATTTAAACTGCTCAAATAGTATTTTGTCAGCAATATTGTGAAATAGATTGCTGTCGGTAATAGTCAAAAAGATTAGTTTCGTCCGATTCTATGGAAATATGTCTACGAAATACGTCTGCGTCATCTGCTAACTATTTTTCGCTATAGTTGAGCTTTTCCGAACTTCAAGCGGTTAAACGACGGCTTGTAGAGGATCATGCAGAGTGGGGAAAGCCGCTAGCGTTTTGACGCTGTGTGAAATTACACTTTTACGGATAAGTTTACTGCTATTTCTATGTCCGTCAGATTACGTAGATCTAAAGCAATATCCTAATTGGATCATCGGCTTAAACTTTACGTTTTATTAATAACCATAAGACGTAAACTTAAGCCGATCATGAGTCAATCAGGATACTGCTTTAAATCTACATAATTTAACAGAAACAGAAATGGCAGTAAATTTATTTGTAAGACAAATTTTAACCGGTTGAAATTTGCTTTATGGATAAGATTACTACTATTACAATGATGTATTAATATTATGTTAGTTTTCATTTTGTTAGTTTTGTGTTTGTTGGCATTGAGTGATACTATATATGTAAATAATGTTAAGTTTAAAAAACATTTATAAACATTAATAAAAACCACTTAAAATTACAGGAGCGATTAATTCGTCCAAAAACGGCTATAAATATGAAAAATCAGTGGATGTACATTGTTCAGGCAGACGAAAATTTTTTTCAAAGTATACGCATCGAAATTTGTAAGTAAGTATAGAAAAAAAGACGCTTTAAATATTAAAATGTCACAGTCCTTTAATATTTATATGTAATATGAATAAAAAAATTACAGGATACATATAGTATATATAGATCATAAGACGAGAGTAAAATAGAATGTTACGAGAAATATTCGTAATGTATATTATTTTCAGAGAACAAGATGGTAAGTGCAGAATGATCGACGATTTTGCTGAAGGATACGTCACGATGTGCAAACAGAAGTATATTTATCGCGAGCTATTAGCCATTTCTGAGGATGGCGAGATTGTTCGCGATTATATCCGACTTCCTGCGAGCTGCTGTTGCCATGTTCAGTTCCAAGCATTGAAGAAAAAGCGAGAATAAGATCGTTTTCATAAGATATCTTCAGCCTTTACTTACACGAAAAATGTATAAGAATATATTTAAGAAAATATTTAAGCATATTTAAATGTTTGTAAGCGGTATTATTTGCATGGAAATAAATAGTTGGCCACCAGATTTCTTCGACATGCGTACTCGAAAAAAATGATAGCTTTTATTCGTACTAAGATCCTTGCAGGACGTTGTACGCTGAATAAGATATTTTGATGATCTGAAAAATGAAAATTAAAAAATGTAATAATCAAGATATAATTATTTTATACTTAATTAAAAACATTTTTAATGCAAATATTATTACAATATCCTGTTCACCTTCATAAATGAATCGTTGGACAAAGTAATCATGTATCCACTAGTTATCTTAATTGGTCTCTTAGATCGCGTAATTATTAATAAAAGAATCTTCATTAAATCAACAGGAAGCATCGGCCATTCCATCTCATAAATAGCATTTCCGATTTCAGTGCTCTACGTATTTAAAGAATAAACTGATTAAAAAGAAAGTTTACTAAATCGGCTTCAAATAAATTAATTATTCTTTGAAGAAAATAAGATTTTAAAAGTTAAAACATTTTTTAACGACCAACCTTCAATGTTACTTCGTTACCGAACCAGCAGTACAAATAAATCTGCATAAGCATACAACCAAGATACGACGAGCTCCATGCAAATTCAAGGCTCAGCAAATTCTTCGTCAACATTTTGTAGATGCTAAGACAGAGCACTGTCGAGCTTATGGTGAATTGTACGGAAATCATTAGCGTGAACACTGCATTAATGCGTTCAGCAAATCTATACCATTATGATTATTTCCTTTATATATATATTTTTTATATATATATTTATATATACATACATATGCATGTGTTTATATATATATATATATACATACGCAGAGGGTGTAATTAATAAGATAACAAATTTCGGGACCATATAGTCTTTACACTAAGCATGAAGAAAAGTTGATATGTAAGACAGATTCTATAACTAGACTGCTGACTCAATGATAGAAAAAGATAAACCTGATTTCGAGCTGTTATTGTTTCAATTCACATATGAGTAAGTATGCGTCCTGTTTGTGAGTATTGCCTGAATTTGTGTGAAAACACTAACATTATCTGTGTGATTTATACATGTGAGAGTGAACGCAAAATATGGCACTGTCCAGTGCTGTCATCAAACATGGAGGCAAAATAGGCAGTCTATTTATAGAAGTCTGTAATATGTATATACATAGGTTCGCAAATCTACTGTTACTGAAATATATAGCTCACAATCAATTGCATGATCTCCACGATTCCCCGATCTAAATCCTTTAAATTTTTATCAGTACAGATATAATAAAATTCTTAGTTTATGAAGTTCCAATCGCTAATAAAAATATGCTACGCCAACGCATCTTTAATGCTTATGACACCATTCGCAATTGCTCCGGGATCTTTGAAAAAGTGCGACAGTTCATGATCCGACATATCCAAGCGTATATTGAACCAAATGAGAGATACATTTGGAACATTTGTTGTTTAAAATTGAAAATAACTAATGCTAAATAATGATATATATATATATTATTTTTTTATTTTCCTCTACTAATAAACATTTTAGATGTATATCAATTACATTGAATCGAACATATGTTCATGTGAATTCTTTTTCATATATTGACGTGGGGAACTCGATCCCGAGTGCTTGTTACCTTTTAGTTACACGCTATATATCCCTATATATATGCAGGGTGATTCGAAACAACTTAGGTATCCCTAAAAAAACACATTCCTGTCCCAATTCTAAAATAATTTTTTCTTTACGAAAATTTTGTCTGAAGTTTAGTTTTCAAATTACAAGAAGAAATAGTTAGCGTATCACGGGTCGCGAGGAGATGGGCAGAAGCGACGCTCACGATTACGCGCCAGACGCATAAAAACCGAACGCATTCACATGTTTAGAAAAACATGTTCCTTCTTACTTTTCCTCTCTACCACATTATCTCTTTATCTTTCACATACTTTAAATAGTGGCGCTCATGATTAGAAGCGGGAACTAACGCGTAGAGACACGACATTGATCGGGGACGCATTTGCACGCTTATAAAAACATGTTCGTTCTCACATTTCCTTTCTATCTATCTCTTTATACATTATCCCTTTGTCTTTCACGTATTTTAAATACGCCAATTTCGTTAAAATTATAAATTAGAATGATGAAATTGAAATGAATATTGAATTCTTTGAGTTTTGGATAGTTTTTTAATTACACTGATAAAATATTGTTAGAGAAATGTTGTTAAAGAACGAAATTAGACAATAATTACGTTCGATAAGCATTATAAAACTATTATTGACATACAAATCATATAATTATTTTAGTATGTCGAATTCTAAGAGCGTTTCTTACAATTTGATGTACTGAAATACTTATTAGACTTAACCCTAACAGCACAAGACGTCCTCAGGATCATCCTGAATATGTCCCAGAATATCCTGAATATTCTAAGGACATTTATACCTCTACTGGATGTCCTGAGGTCATCCTTATTATTTTCAGCACACTCTCAGGACGTCCTTGGGATAGCTAGGTCGCTTGTGAGACAATCTCAGAAGATCGTTTGAATATCCTTCGGATAAAGTATGCTGTGTAGGAATTATTGTAGTGTATTCTGATTGCAGGTAATTAGAAATAATTTGTACATACATATATTTAATTTATATCTAAAAAATGATTTCTTTAATATTCGTACTTTGTGCTTTAATTACGGTTAATCTTATTGTCTATTAATAATTTTAATTTTTTATTTAATTTGTATTGTATACGAGTTTCTTTAACGGGTAAAATTTCATATATTGTACAATTCAATATTCTTTTTTTCTGTCTAACTGTTTCGCATATCATATACTTAATATAACATTCGTCATTTTTGAAATTCACACATAAATTGTTGAAAGTTTAAAATGCAATATCCAATTTTCGTATAATACATATTATTGAAATCTATTAGGCGTATAAATAAGTTTCCGCCGTTTGACAAACAATGGCACTATCAATATGTTATAGTTAAAATTGTCAGCTGTAAAACGTCATATCGTAAGGTTGGACATCTGGCAAGAATATAACCTTGAAATATTACCGATTTTGCATCACCATCTTATATCTTTTTTCATGCGAAAATGTCGAGTTTTGAGCCGAATAAGCATCATTTGCGGGAGCTTTTACTTCTTTAATTTGAAGAAATCTGCAGCTGAGGCGCATCGATTGCTTGTAGAAGCATATGGTGATGCTGCCTTAAGTGAGAGAAGTTGCCGTGAGTGGTTTCAAAAGTTTAAGAACGGTGAATTTCACGTCGAAGACAAAGAACGTAGCGGAAGGCCGAAAGTATACGAAGACGCGG